ACCTGTAGAGTATACTTACTGCCTTTATGTTTTCTGCCCTACTTCGACTAAGGTTGAGGTTTATTCGCCCGAGGTTGAGATTTGTTCTACTAAGGTTGAGCTACGTGCTCGAGACTACCGACTCTACTTCCCGTTGCTGCTCGCCAGTGCATCTCCCCGCATATAATTAGCTCTGCGCAAACCCGGACCCGCCCTCCGCCCCGGGCGCACGAGTATGCAGAGTTCTGGAGACTGGAGACTTATCAGTATGCCGCTCACTGTCTTTGTTTAATAAAGCCTCTGTCAGGAAATTTTGGCTAATGTTAGGCGCAGAATAGATATTCGCATGGTCGCCGTCGACCGCTTGCCTTACCCTGAACGCTGTGCGAAGCAGGGCGCTGACTGAAGAAAGCCATCCGACAGGCCCGGGCGAACTTGATACTGGTACGGAAAAAGGCCTACTTACCTACCTACGTACCCGGGGTCTAGGTACCTACTCACTTCCCGAATCTGCTGCCGGGCTTTTAGCTCGTCACCCGTGATCCACCCGTCGTCTCGGGGCTGGTGGACTCGTCCTCCCCCAGTTTAAGCACATGCAGCCACCCCATCGCCCAATAGGCTCCTTTGTGATAGCGGTGCGACTTGCGGCCTCCACAAAGCCCAAGGGATCCTCTGACTACACTGGGCACCATCTTTTCCTTGCGAAAATGCTTAAATAACTTCGGGGCGCCGACCTGAACTGCTATGGGATGCGACTTTGTTGTCCGTCTGATGCTAGGCCTACCACCTTCTTGACCTTTCAAATACTGGCTAGAGTTATTCTCTGGCTGAAAAAGAAGGCATTGCTCGGTTTCTCCTACTGTGCATATCTACGCCGCACCGTTTAACATTTGCATCATGGCGTTGCCGCAACAGAAACTTCCTTGCTACGACCTTGGTACGCACTCTGCCGCCATGCTAGATTTGCCATGTATTACAGGTCCTGACATCTTCCCTCTCAGTCATCGTCGGAGCTGGTCCTGTTGGTTTAATGCTTTCGACATGCCTTGCTCGCTGGGGTTATAGTATAAAGCATATCGATAATCGCCCGGAGCCAACAGCCACAGGACGTGCGGATGGCATACAACCCCGGTCTCTCGATTTACTCCGCAATATGGGCCTGAAGTCTGACATAATGGCACACAAGCCTGCGCGTGTTTTCGAGGTTGCGTTCTGGGACCCTTGTGACTCTCTATCTGGTATTCAGAGAACGGGGACCTGGGCGTCGTGCCCAGATTTTATCGATGCGCGCTATCCTTTTACCACCCTCCTGCATCAGGGCCACATTGAGCGAGTATTTCTCTCAGATCTAAAGAAACATGGTGTCGAGGTTCAGCGCCCATGGACTATTGCCGGCTTTCAGTCAGACGATTCGCAACATCCAGACTATCCAGTCACTGTGCAGCTTGAGCATGTAGATGGCACCACCAAGGAACAAATACACACTAAGTATCTCTTTGGCGGCGAAGGATCCAGATCTTTGATTCGCCAGCAGCTGAATATTGAACTCCGCCACAAGGATCCCATTCACCACGTTTGGGGTGTCATGGATGGTGTTGTGCAGACCAATTTTCCCGATATAAAGGTGAGCCGCCCTTGTTAGCCGCCCTTCCTCGATATCATCGACAGCTGGATTAACTCAGCATTAGATGAAATGTACCATTCATAGCCATCATGGGTCCATCATGGTGATCCCTCGCGAGAATAACATGGTTCGTCTCTATATTCAGATTGCGTCGTCAACCGATCCAGACTGGAATCCCCGCAAAACGGCCACTGCCGAACAAGTACAGGAATCCGCCAAAAAAATTCTTCAGCCTTATTATATTGTGTGGGAGCGCGTTGAGTGGTACTCCGTTTACCCAATTGGGCAGGGACTATCGGATCGCTATTCTTTAGACCAGCGTGTCTTTCTTGGTGGCGACGCGTGCCATACCCATAGCGTAAGTAACTCTTCTCCCTTTAAACGAGCATACTGACCTTCGTATAGCCCAAGGCTGGCCAGGGCATGAATACGGCTTTCCTCGATGCACAAAATTTGGCGTGGAAGATACACGCCGTAGAAGCCGGTTTCGCGGCCCGTGATATCCTCAAGACATATGAGACGGAACGTCGCAGTGTTGCTCAAGCTCTGCTAGACTTTGATAACCGCTACGCCAAGCTGTTCTCCCAACGGCCCCCTGAACAGGGTGACGTCGAGGCGGCATCGAAATCGCCTTCTGCTAACGAATTGACTGATAGCGAATTCATCAAGACGTTCAAGGAGTCTTGCGAATTCACGAGCGGCTACGGTGTATCTTATCAACCCAATGAGCTCAACTGGTCGTCGAGGCATGCTGCTCAGTCACCACTGATCCACCCTGCCGGAACAACACTAACCACCGGTCGAATCTTTAAGAATTCCGATGTAACAAGAGTTTCTGACGCAAACGTTGTACATCTTGAACAGGAAGTTCCGTGGAATGGATCTTTCAGATTATTCCTTTTCGCCGGCAACCCCAGCAAAACTGCCACCGCAGTCGCTGATTTCGCCCACTACGTGCAGGATAAGCGTTCCTTCTACGCTAACTACCTGCGAGACGACATTAGCCAAGTGTCGCATCATGAGATACATAATCCGCACAGCAAATTTTTCACCATTTGCACCATTCTCGCAGCAAAACGTCATCAGGTCGAGATCGACAAGCAGCTTCCTCTTCTTCTAGCACGATACCGAGATCACATTTACGCTGATGATCGATGGGATCGCCACTTTCCCAACTCTGATGCCACTGCGCATGCTCGCATGGGACTTGACTCAGAGGAGGGAGGTGTAGTCGTTGTGCGACCTGATGGCTACGTTGGCATGGTGGTCCGGCTAGTCGAGGGTAGCGGCACAGTGGAAGCTCTGAACGAGTACTTTTCCGCCTTTTGTACAAAGAACATGGGCGGTCTATCGCATTTGTAAGTATTTTTGTCTTAGGCGTTGTGAAGAACGAAAACTTACATTTTTGCCTAGCGGGGACGGCACAGCAGCTTCGCGATGCATCGACACCGGAGATTGGAGGCCTGTGGACACCCCCGGAATTTCAATTTAAATCGTCTGCCTTGCCCTGGCGGTTGCTCCAGGTCTAACTCGAAAAGAAACTTCTGTTTAGGAGGCGCACTGTGTTTGGACCTGACGCTCGGACGAGAGTATATGGCAGTAGTTGAGCTATTGATTTTTATCAATGATCCAAGCTTGGCCGATACACGAAATATAGGTACATGAGCAGCTGCTTCAATAACGTAGATGTCTCATTACGTGCACCGCTCTAATGCCAATTTATTCTTCGAAACTCGCAAAATTATTAGAGAACGCGCTTTGCTATCTTTCTCTTTTGTTTTTTGACCGCACGAAGAGTTGTTACTTACAGCTTATCAGACATCGTTGATGATGTCTGCGTGCCTGCGACCTGACTACCTATACTATCGCAAAGAAGCTCGGCTAGTCAGCCAATCAATACTAACTACGTAGAGACTTCCGGGGCTCCTTTCCTAGCCAATTCGACCTCATCGGTCGGCTCATGTAGAATTGCGTTCATGTTAGAGACACCGCTTCTACTCCTAGTGTCCCGCTGAGGAGTGCTCGATCTTGCGCCATCTTCTCTCTTACGGTAATAATTAAGCCACTAAGGGTTCTCGGACCACGGAGCGTAGGTAGCCTGAGGGGCGGAGACACTAAGAATACAGCTAACTTCGGCTTAACCATTTAAACGGTCTGCGAACTGCTTATTAGGTGTTGAAGCCCACTGTGAATAATGGTTTAGTGCTTAACTGAGCCTTTCCACTTCCCATATTCTAGCGCACTCTAAACTCTATTCGTCCGCTAAGCACTCCTCTAGGAGGCGGAACCAGGACCCCTATCCGGCAAACCTTATGCCACTCCTCTTAGCATAAACCACTCCTAGTAGGGAGGGAAGAAGCCACTGCTCTCCATATCAACGATACTATGAACTTACTTATCTAAAACCATCATATTACTAGGCATATTTGAGTGTTACTCTGGGCATCTTTTCTATAACTAGGTGCTTGAATTCGCTCGTCGTATAGAAGTCGTAGACATAAGGTACCGGTACGTTTGTTTGTTTAGCGACGAGCTTGAGATTCCGCCGTTTTGTAAGGGGATTAGACCGGCTAAGTCGTATGAATTTCGGATAGTATATTTCTTGGACGGAGGTCTCTTGATTAATGATACTGCCGTCTGAAACTGGGTGTATTATCTGATATAGCGCCTTAACTACTCTATTAGTGTATGGACGTGGCTTGGGGAACTTTGCTTTAGCTAGGTAGTTGGCTGTTGCCTGGCGATGACTTTGAGCATTTGGTGTATTGACGGAGTATAGCCTGTCTAGTACTAGTTTATTGAGGAAATTGATTATAGCTTTCACTGTTTCTCTGTTTGAGAGTAATATAAGTAAGGAGAGTTAGGAACGCATTTGAGGAGTAAGGCATTTAAGATTTAAGATAGTTATAGCAGTTAACCAGAAACGAATTATAAATACACTTTTTATACTAATATATATACTTTTTAATAAACTATAATAACCTAAGTATATATTCTAAAAGTCTATAATATATTAAAATAAAATTTAAATAGAAAAAGATACTTAGATATTATAATTTAGAATATATATATTATAATAAAGTAGATTTATTATATTATATATTATTAAAGTCTATTAATTACTTAATTTACTAGATATATGATATTTATTTAATTTATCTATTAGATAAACTTTCTCTTTAGTAAAAATTAACTTCTATTTAATAAAAGATATCTAGCTTTATAGGTATATTACCCTTCTTTATCGGTACTAGCTTAGTATATATTACTTATAGTACTCTCCTTAAAGTAAGAAGTTTAAAATTAACCTAGTTTCTAATATACGATATTACTATTTACCTATATAACTAAAAACTATTAATTAATTATAATTAAGTACTAAAATATATTAATTGATTTATGAACTACTTTATTCTCTTTAATATTTAATAAAATATAAAGTATCTTAATAAATTAATAATATAAGAAGAATTATTACCTAAGATAAATACTTTAAAACCTTACTATCTTTATACTA